CTCAGAAGTCACATTTAAATGACAGTAGAAAACACAAAAGGAAATAAATTCATAACCACCCTAAAATGGAAATGGAAGGTGACATCAGCAAAGCAGAGAGTTTAATGAGTTTCTAGAAACCAGAAGGCAGACAGGGCCATGAGGATGGGACATTTCGCCCTAAACCAGAAGCAAGGGCGGCAGGAAGAGAGGCTGCCGTCCACAGCGGCCAGGCTGCAGCCCGGAAGTGAGACGAGGAGGGGAGAGACTGCCGTGGGCCAGCCTGGGAGCTGCCTCAGCCACCCCCAATGGTCCCCCTCTCCCATGAGCGGGGCATTTGTTCCCACCGCCCGCCCTCCCAAAGCTGAAGCTTGGCACCCAGGGATGGAGGACGGGATGGGGGGCGGGTTCTAATTGCCTACACTCCACCCCCTGAGGAATCTGAACCATGTGAGTCCAAAGAAGGTTTTTCAAAATTTTAATCTAAACCAAAAAAGTAAAAATGAATGCTAAATTTTAAAAAATAGAAAAACTAGAGGGAAAAAAATCAAGAAACTTTTCCAGAGAAGACTGACAAACTAAAGTATTAGAAAGTTATATATTAGAGAACATTTAAGAGACAAACATGAAATCAGTCAAGGAAGGGAAATATCCACCTATCTATTAAGAATCCCAGGAGGGCCCTAACCGGCTTGGCTCAGTGGATAGAGTGTCAGCCTGCAGATTCAAGGGTCCCAGGTTCGATTCCGGCCAAGGGCATGCACCTTGGGATGTTTCTAACTCTATCCCTCTCCCTTTCTCTCTGTAAAAAATCAATAAAATATATTTTTTGAAAAAAAGAATCCCAGGAGGAAACAATAGAGAAAATGGAGATAAGGAAATAATCAAGAATTTTTTTTTTTTTTTTAAATTTCAGAGCCTAAGACAGACCAGAAAAGTATTCAGACTGGAAAAGTCCACAGGGCAGAGCCACCCCCGATGAGGGAGGGAAGCTGGGAGTCCGTGTGAAATCTCAGAGCACATGCGGAATAGTGATCGGGGCGTAGACCAGAAACCCACCACAAATAGGAACCTGCTGCATGCACTCCGACTTCCAGAGCAATGCCTGCGGTTTGCGGGCCGGCGTCCTAACCACTGAGCCACCAACCAGGCAGCGGGTGCCTTTGCCAGGCAGGCTGGGAAACCAGAGGTCGGAGATTGGTGACTGCTCTCGCAGTTGGCCTTTCCTCTGGGTTCAATTTCTTGTCAACATGCCGGGCAGAGGGGCTGGCGAGGGCAAGGGCTGGGACACTTCCCCTTTCCCTTTGGTGCCCTTCTGTACTTTTGAATATTTACTTCTGTGCAGACTGATTTCTGTCAAAACAAAAACAATAATATATGTATTTTTTAAACCAGCCCTGGCGCTGGGTGGCTCGGTTGGCTGGGTGTCGTCCCATGTACCAAAAGGTTGCAGGTTTGATTCCCTGGTCAGGTCACGTACAGGAGGCGGTCGATCTCTCTCTGTCCCTCAAGCAATAAAAACATTCTCCAGTGAGGATTAAAAAAATAAATTAATTAAAACAAACCCTCCTTCATGGACTTACCAGTGCCCTGAGGACAACACCCAAACTCCTCAGCCAGCGTCTGGCCCCCTCGATCTGCCTGCTCGCAGCCCTCAACCCCTCCCCCCACCAACGCACTGCTTCTGTGCACGTGCCCCACCTCAGCTCTAATGCCCCTTCCTCCGGTTCACCCCACCCCAGCGTCAGCCCTCAGCCCCACCCCTGGAGCCTGTGAAGTCTGTTCTCAGCTTCAATTCCATAAAGAAGGGACACTTCCTAGTTGCCATTAAGTTCCTGCAGCCTGTTAGCCTCAGGGACCAAGCGCAGCCTACTGATGCCCTGAGGCGAGAAGCCCTGACCTGCTCCCCCAGACCAGCACCCGAGACCAGCACCCCGAGACCAGCTCCTCCAGACCAGATCCCCTAGACCAGCACCTCAAGACCAGCACCCCACGACCAGTTCCCCAAGACCTGCTCCTCGAGAACTGCTCCCCGAGACCAGCTCTCCGAGACCAGCTCCTGAGACCAGCTCCCTGAAGACAGCTCCTGAGAACCAACTTCCGGAGACCAGCTCCCCTGAGACCAGGTCTCTGGAACCAAGGGCCCCGAAACCAGATCCCCCAGAACAGCGCCCCAAAGACAAGCTCCTGAGACCAGCTCCTGAGACCAGCTCCTGAGACCAGCTCCCTGAGACCAGCTCCTGAGACCAGCTCCCTGAGACCAGCTCCCTGAGACCAGCGCCCAGAGACCAGCTCCCCAAGACCAGCGCCCAGAGACCAGCTCCCCGAGACCAGCTCCCCAAGACCTGCGCTCCGAGACCAGCTCCCCTAGACCAGCTCCCCGAGACCAGCTCCTGAGACCACGCTCCCCTAGACCAGCTCCCCGAGACCAGCTCCTGAGACCAGCTCCCCTAGACCAGCTCCCCGAGACCAGCTCCTGAGACCAGCTCCCCGAGACCAGCTCCCCGAGACCAGCTCCCCGAGACCTGCGCTCCGAGACCAGCTCCCTGAGACCAGCTCCTGAGACCAGCTCCCCGAGACCAGCTCCCCGAGACCTGCGCTCCGAGACCAGCTCCCTGAGACCAGCTCCTGAGACCAGCTCCCCGAGACCAGCTCCTGAGACCTGCTCCCCGAGACCAGCTCCTGAGACCAGCTCCCTGAGACCTGCTCCCCGAGACCAGCTCCCCGAGACCTGTGCTCCGAGACCAGCTCTGTCTGAGGAAAGAGGCAGGAGACCCCACTCGGGTCCCTGCCAGGTTGGCCGGACTCTGCCGCCTCGTGCCCACTGGCCCAGGCGCAGCCTTCTTCCCTCATTTGGTCACATTACTACAGTCTCCTCTGTCCTGGGTAATATTTAAAGGGTCCCCATCATAGTGTGCTGCTCACTCCCCTACACCCAGAGGGACCACTCATTACTGGGTGTTTCAGCCGCCCTGGCGCCTGGCGCTTGGAGCCAGCCCTGCCGGCCTGTGACCTGGGCTGACCCTCACTCCGCGAGCCGGCTTCCTGCTCTGCGGAGCAATAGGGAAGTATCTGCCCCCAGAAGGTTGGCCTAGAGGCCAAATGAGATGACGCACGGGGTTCCTGGCACAGAAACGGCTTCAAAAGAGTGGCTGCAGGTCACGATATTAACAGCTCCAATGTCCAGAGTAGCGAGGACAGAGCTCCTCGTGCCCGTCCCCGCAACTGGGATCACACGCTGACGGGTCACAGCCAGGGCTTATAGACCTGGGCCCTGCCATGCCAGGCAGGGCGCGCCCACGAGGCAGGAGGCCCGCGGGCCCGGCAGAGGCGGCAGTGCCAAGTGTGTGTTACGTGAAAGTGTTAACTTCTGTCCTTCACACACGCTTACTCCCCAGAACGTGGTGGGGACCCTCCTGAGGCCCAGGCCCGCTCCCCCTGCCGGTGCTGCGAGGCCGGCTGGCCGCCCTTCCAAGCACACAGAGCAGTGTGGGCAGCGCTGGGTCAGCAGAGCAGCGGGTCAGGGCCCTGGGCAGGCACGGTGGGTGGGCCTCCTTCCCCAGCCTCCCTGGGAGCCAAGGGCGCTCACAGGCTCCACCTCCATCTCCTCCCCGCCCCGCCGGCTCCTGGCCTGCAGGGGTTCCCTCAGCACCACAGACATGGGCTTGGCCAGCCAGGCAGCACCTGCTGCTGGTTCCCTGGGTGCGCCCGCTGGCAGGTGGGGCTGAAAGGCCTGTACACACCAACGGGGGCAAATAACACAGAGGCACAGCCCCTCCCTCCTCCCGGTCGCCGGGACTTTCTCTCCAGCCCTGAGAGCCAGGATCACCCAGGGCTGTGCCTGGGAGCCGGGAGCAGGGCCCCCCAGAGCAGAGCATGGGCTGCCAGGACCTGCAGCGCTGAGGCCTGCTGGCCTTCTCCAGCCTCTCTGCCCCGCTCTCCGCAGGCCTGTGAGGGCTCCCCCCTTTTCTCCCCTTATTGGACTCATTGGACCATCCTCTTCTAACACCCCCCTGTTCCTAGATCTGCCATCTTGGGCCCTCTCTCCCCAAGTCTGTTCTGCATATTCTCCCCACACTGTCCCCCGAAGCATGACACACCACAACACCCTCTTCACCCAGTCACGCATGTATTCATCCAAAATGTGGGTCCCTACCCCATGCCTGGCATCGTGCCCTCCCTCAGGGCTCACACTCCGGCTGAAAGGGACCACTGCCTGGCCAAGACTTGGATTAAGGGTGGAGGCAGCGGCGGGGAAGCCTCTGGGTGGGGAGTGAGGGAGGCGGCAGAGCCGGGCTGGCGCAGGCACCTGGCCAGCACCCTGTGGTGGTGAGTGAGGTGCGCAGGGTGCGATGGGCGACGGAAGCCAGAGCCTTCGGGCCTTGAGGCCAGAGTGGACCCTGGGGTTTCACAGGTGCCAGCGCACAGCTGTAAGCAGGGGAGTGACTGGTCTGGCATTTCCCAGTCATTCTCTCAGGCAGCTGTGTAGAGCATGGGGAGCGAGAGGCGATGGGGGGCCCATGGGAACCCAGCAGGAGCTGATCGAGAGCTGCTAAAAGGACATGCGCGATGATATCCGAGACGTAGTCATTCAGATCGACCACAAAGGGGTCATTGCAGGGGTGACCCCCAATTCCTGCCCACTCCCGATGGCGCCCCTGGACTGGACCCTCTCCAGGAACATCAGGGAACCGTGTGGACTTACCTGTTTGCAGACACCCTCACTCTGAAGGCCCAGGGCAGTGCCTCATCTGAGCAGACCCTCCTCCTCCCAGGTCCAGCCGAAGCCGCCATCGGTGCCCAGCACCACCTCACGCTCCCTGCCCTCTTGCTGTCATCTCCCCGCTAGTGATGCCGTGGCCCTGAGCTGGGCACAGGCCGCACTCGGAGCTCGGGGCACAGACGCCTTCCGAGCCCACGGGACAGGTGAGACCTAGGGCACGTCCAAGGGCCGGTTTTGCCCCAACTGCCCGGACCTCGCCATCGTTACACTTGCCTTTATAGGGGAGACACCGCCCCCCAAACAGGGCACGTCCAACTCTGGCCCATCTGAGTCCATGCCCCGAAGGGGGGCCTTGGCGCCAAGTCAGAGCTGGGCCCCGGCCACGTCAATAAAGTGAAGGAGGGCCCGTGTCTTCCTGACTCCAAGAGGGTTTCAAACGTGTCGGGGCCAGAAGTCCCCAGTTAAAGGTCCTGATTCAGGGATAACCCCCCCCCCACACACACACACACACAAAGATTCAGTAGGGTCTGGGGGGGGCCTGTAATCTGCATGTTAGCCCCTCACAGGGCCATGGTTCTCAGAAGCAGGAAGTGCAGAAACTGCTGAGGGACAAAGCCCTGCCCTAGGCACCAGCCCCCAGGGGCCCAGAGAACGCGGATACCTCTCCCACCACAGGTGGGGTGGGTGCTGGGGACAGGTCAGATGCCCTACCCTCCGGGCCAGGGAGCTGGGGCTGCTTGCTGGGCCTCTCCCACTACACGCCTGTGGGAGGCAGCCGGGCGGCAGGGGTGGGATGAGCTTCGTGGCGACTCCACTAAGCACTCTGCCCTGTCTCGCTCTGCCCTTAGCAAATGCAAGAAGTTAGGGCCAGTGATTCACAGTCCTTCCCCTTAACACACCCTCTCCATTTCTTTCAAGTCTCCACCCAGCACCAACCAGGACAAGAGCTAACAGATGGAACTTCCTGCTCCACGGGGCACAGGGGATTCTTCCAGGAACTTGAGCGGGGCCTCTCTGGACCTCTGCCAGGGGCATGCCCAAGGGGCTTCCATCATGTGAGCAGCTCGGGGTGGCGCCTGCTGGATGCAAACAGACCAAAAGGCCATCAAGTAACCAACATGCGGACCAAGAGGCAGGAAGGGACCCGAGAGAAGAGTGTGCCATCCGCTCGGAACCTTGGCGATCCCTGGGCTGTCACAGGACGGGACGCAGGAGGCCTCCTGGCTGGTCAAGGGCAGCAGCACAGGGAAAGCCCAGACACGCAGCTCAGACTCCCAGCCTGGCAGAGCGGGAGGTTCCTGTTCAGGCGGGGACCCAAGACCAACCCACAAGGACAGGCTCAGCATGCGGTGGCTGGGAAGGCCCCGTCAAGTCCCACAAATACATTCCTCCTCCAGCCCCATTTACTGCAGGCAGGATCGGCTTCTGGAAGCGGCAGGAGGCTTTCTGCCCATATCCCAGCCACTGCTGCTGCTCACAGCCCCACAGCCTGCTGGCACCGCGGGGCACAGTGCCCACTCTGAGTGCGTCCTGCTCCGACACTCATTCCGAATGCACCCTCCTAAGCAAGACTGATCTCCCTCACCTACAGATGCAGGTCACAGTGCCTCCCTTCTGGAATTACTGG